TGGAAAATGTATATTTATGTACATTGCAATGCTAGTAAACTGTCAGTCCAACAGAACATGCTTAAAAAGGAAAACAAAAATCCAACAGTATGTTAAGTTACAAAATAACTTACATCATTTAATGGCAGCTCTGATGTGCCTTTCTTGCTGTGAAGAAAGACATAACAGTTTATAATTGTACAAATTCAAAATGTTGACATTTATAGACTATGCTATGATTGAATTTTACAAATTGAGGAAACTTTATAATTCAAATTTAAGTATGGTGCCACTTAAACAAAAGTACAGATCAGTTAACCATTTATTATTATCACTGCAGCAGTTCAGATATAAAGACTAAAATGTATTTATCACAACTTACTTTTAGCCTTTCTATAGGTTACCCAAACAAACCTTCCTGGTTTCTATAAGATAAAGCTAGTCTTCATTTCAAAGTTGTGTCCAACGTTTTATTTACTGTATAGCAAAATGTTAGACCTCACACAATAATAAAACAGGACTGTCATTTAGATGATATAATTAATACACCTGCTTTACCACATTACCTTGTGGTTACAAATCCAAATACTACTTAATTATGGATGCTCCTAGCATTACAATAAGTCTTTGCAACAGCCAATTTCTAGCTGGACAACAACAAGACAGTTCAGAAATGCAGTGTTAAGTACAGCATGTGAAGTACAATAGGGTCATTGTTATATTACACGCTAGTCTCCTGTAGCACAGCTAGCCGGTCCTAATTCACAGCTAGGAGTAGGCAAATCCAGTCCAAGAGCGCTATATTGTTTTCGGTTTGCATATCATCTCAAACTTTAAGAATTTCATTAAAATAAAAACTAAAAAGATAAGAAGTTCAATCGGCGCTGTTTTCCCACGTCTTAACCAGGTGCTATTGAAGCACCTCTAAAATCTGCAGGAAACCCACACGCGAGGGTTGGAGTTGCCTACCTATGCCTTAAAATATAAATACCTCTATTGTTTTAAAAAAAACAGTATTTTCCTTGAAAATGAACTAACACATTCCTGAAATCTGACCAGTAGAGGACACCGGCCCAGCGCGGATCCCTGATCTGAACTGCATCTTGACACAAACCCTGTCTGTGCCCACCTCTCCTGCAATACTGTATCGCACCAAGCCCAAGCCCAATACTCCATGCTCTACA